GAAAAGTTGCGGTGCTGCAGATCGGGCCGGAGAAGACGGACAAGTGGCTGTTGTTGCAGATCGAAGATGGACATTTTTTTTTGAGTGGTGCAGTGGAGTTGTGTAGTGTTGATTTGGGGGTGGTTGCAGGTGATGGTTGGGCGTGGTTGCAGGCGATGGTTGGGTGTGTGTGCGATGGTTGGGTGTGGTTGCAGGCGATGGTTGGGTGTGGTTGCAGGCGACGTGAAGTGGCATCGGCGATTTGAAGTGGCAGTGGCGACTGGCGATTTGAATGTTGCGGAGTGGCTTCGCCCAGATCCATTCCTCTTCCCTGTTTTTTTTTTTTTTTTAATTTTTGAGTTTGGTGGTGGAGGTGTGTAGTACGATGGGTGCAACGGTGATGTGCTACTGTGTTGTTGTAGGTGCGGTGGTTGGGTGAAATGGTGTGGTGCTATGTGCGGTGCTAGTATGGTGTTGTGCGCGATGGTGGTGCTGTGGTGCGGTGGAATGGTGGTGTTTGACGACAGTGGAGGTGGAGTTGTGATGGTGCGCGGTGATGGTACGCGATGGTGGTGCGGTGGCGGCGGAGGTTTTTTGTGCGTGTTCGCTTGTTTTGGGGTGGTGTTTTGTTGTTAGGTGCAAATCTGTTTTGGGTGCGGTTGGGCGGCGGGTGCAGTTGGTTGTGTGTGTTCTGTGTACGGTGGTGGGGTGGTGATAGTGGTGTTGGGGAGGGTGTGATGTTGGTTTTGAGATGTTGATGGTGCCGCTGGTGGTGAAGTGGTGGTCACAAATGATTTTGGTGGTGGTCACAAATAATTTGGTTGTTTGTGACCACTATTTTGGTTGGTTGGCGGTCAATCAACGATTTGTGACCAATGAATTAGATAAAATGTGACCAATACATGATGTGTGACCTAAAAATTATTAAATTGTGACCAATAATTTGATAAATTGTGACCTAAATATAATTTATGTTCGATTAATGTGATGTTCGTGACCATAAATAAGTATTGTGACTTACAAATTTTGTGATCTGTGACCGATGAACGAATTGTGACTTTTAAATTTTTAAGTTGTGACCAATGAACAAATGTGACCTATGAAAATTTTGAATTGTGACCTAAAAATTTTCGTCGAATGTTCTATTAATGTGATGTTTGTGATCATAAATAAGTATTGTGACTTACAAATTTCGTGATTTGTGATTAATGAACGAATTGTGACTTTTAAATTTTTAAGTTGTGACCGATGAACAAATTGTGAGCTATGAAAAATTTGAATTGTGACCTAAAAATTTTTGAATTGTGACCAAATTGTATAGATATGTGACCTTAACATATTCGCCAGAATCGGATCAGTCGTCGGAAAAGTCGCCGAAAAGGTCGTCGGAGAAGAGTGGTGATCGGAAAGGTCGTCGGAATATCCCCGGAGTTGTAGGGGTGGTGGAGGTGGGGGTGGATTAATTATTTTATAGTAGAATTAAATATTAATAATAAATTAATTTAATAATTATTATTTAATAATTAAATTATAAATAAATTTTAATGAAAACCTGATTTTTGAAATTTAAAACTTCAAACCTTAATTTTGATATGGTGATAGTTAAATACCTTATTTATGTATTGTTCCCTAATTTTAAAGTAGAGTTATGCTACATGTACATATGTGGTGGAGGTGGGGGTGGATTAATTATTTTATAGTAGAATTAAATATTAATAATAAATTAATTTAATAATTATTATTTCATAATTAAATTATAAATAAATTTTAA